GGCGCCTGTGCCTGCTGGCCCGCCGCCACCGCCGTCGCCGCCACTGCGGCCCATTCCGCCACCGCCGCCGGTTGGTGGGTGCATCAGCGACATGGTGTACCCCGAGGTTGCGCAGTCTGTGGGCAGCGGGCTGTCGTGGCTGTGCTACCGCAACGTGACTTTCAGCGGGGATGGCATGAGCCTGACGGTGCTGATTGGGGCGATGATGGGCGACGTGGTGAATGTCACGTTTGATGGATGCACGTGGAGGGACGGTGCCGTGCTGTTGCTGTTGGGCAACGCGTACGCCTTTGTGGGGTCGCTGCACATCGTCGTCACCGGCAACACATTTAGTGACGCACTGCTCAGCCCGGAGGGTGGGTTTCCACCGCACACGAACATCACGATTAGCGGGAACCGCTTCACGGTCACGAGGCTGATCCCGCGGTCGGGTTTGGGAGCTATGAGCCCGTCGTGTGTTGCGATGAATGGACTGTTGATCGCCAAAGACTCCGCGGTGGTGCTGAGCGGCAATGTGTTTCAGAGTGTGACGGCATCCTCAATCGCCATCTACTTTGTCGGATCTGCGCTGAGGGTGTCGTGGCACTCCCTTTTTGCGGTGATGGGCAACACGTTTCATATGGCTGGCGGTGGCAGTACGCTGATAAATATTGAAGGTTTTAGCCAGTCCTTGTCGCTGAGTGTACTGAATAACTCTGCTGTAGTGATCCGAGGCAATCTTGTGACGAGGCCGGTGAGGTACTTTTTATTACTAATTTTGGCATTGCGTGTGGAGTCTCGGTCAGCGGTTGTGTTTCAGGGCAACGAAATGCAGAGAAGCTCGGTTGTGTTTTTTTCAAGCCACTCTTCATACATCTACTACAACTCCTGGCTGCAGGTGAGCGGCAACCTCTGCCACATGTCCCTATCGGATGCGTTTGCTTTTCTTTATCCCAAAGTGAATCTCCGCGACTCCATTGTGTCTGTGTCTGGCAACCGATTCATGTCCAGCACGGACACGCCGACAGTTTTGCGGGTATCCACGGGGTCCCGCGATCTCACAAACGGAGCGATTGTGGCTGCGTGCAACACCGTGAACGGCGAGGAGGGGGTGCAATACGTCATCCCGTCCGTGTACAATGCCACCATTCTGAACTGCAGTGATCCATGCACCCTCGCGACGTCGTGCTTCCCTGCGTACACGACGACTGCCTCGAGTGATGGCTGCGCCTGCACGTGCGCGGAGGGCGGCCATGGCGATGCGTGCCTGCCCGTTGCTGCTCCCGACCCACCGAGCACCGACGGCGCCGACTTGTGCGTGCGTGACGTGAGTGTAGACGTGGAGGTGAGCGCCGGTCTCGGGACGTCGGTGGTGTGCTACGTTGGTGTGACCTTTGCGGCGGACGTCGTGGTGGACTTGGGGTCGATGTCAGGGAGCGTGCGCAACGTGACGCTGGCGAACTGCACGTTTTTGGGCGGAGCGAGTCTGTACGTTGTGGGGTGGCGGTCCGACCCGACTGCTGTCGAGCGCGTCGATGTGTTGATCAGCGGGCTTGAGTCGCGCTCCGGCGGCGGCGTGCTGGTGGGGAACCGATTTCCGCCGGGCTCGCGCGTCACTGTGGTGGACTCGGTGCTGATCGCAGAGGCGCGTGTTGCGTACCGCGGCGCCTACGGCCTTGGCGACGCCTCCGCGTGCCTCGTGGTGCACAACGTGAATCTGACGGGGAGCGTGCTGACCATCGCGCGAACGCACGTGGTGGCTGTGTTCCGCGAGGCTGTTGGCGTGTTGTTTGTTGGCGGCGTGGTGCTTCATTCGCGCGGTGCGCTGCACGTGGACGGGCTGTCGGTGCAGACGGCGCTGGGGCTGTGTGTGTCGGTGGAGGGCGGCGTTGCGGCCAGCGGCGGCTCCGTGGTGGCGTTTGTTGACAGCGGCTTCCTGCTGTGCAAGCACGCAGTGTCTGTGCGTGGGGCTGTGAGCGTGTCGGGCTCCGCTGTGGCGCTTGTGCGGAGCGAATTCTCTTCGACGGAGGACTACGCGGTGGCGTTTTATTCGACGGTGAGCCTGGCTGGCGGGTCGATGCTGCTAGTGAAGGACAACGTGCACGACGGCGTCTCGAGGGAGATGCTCTACGCCGCTGGCGCCGTGACTGCTGCTGGGAGCACGCTGAGCTTTGTGCGCAACCGAGTGCTGCTGCCGCGGATGCTGTCGGTGAGCCTGTCGCTCGCGGCAGGGGCGCATTTGGGGGTGGCGTGCAACGACGCCGGTGGACGTTTCCTGTCGACGGCGGAGGAGTACGCAGCGGCTGGTTTTGGCGACGCTGGGAGCATCGACGTTGCTGGGTGCGACGCCTGCGACAGGGACACACACTGCTACGCGCCCGGGACAGCGTCTGCAAGCATGAAGGACGGTGTATGCGTGTGCGTTTGCGGCAGCGACGGGTACGGCGAGGCGTGTGTGCCTGTGGGAGCTCCCGCGCTGCCGCCCGCTGTGGGTACCGTGTCGAGTGTGTTCGTCCGCGAGGGCGTGACGGTGCGGTTGGTGTTTGTTGTGCCTGCCGGTGCGAGCGAGGTGACGCTGCGCCACGTTGTGCTGGACGGCGTGAGTCCGGTGCTCTACGTGCCGTGGATGGCGCGGGACGGCGTGCGGATCGTTGTGCAGAACGTGTCGCTGCAGAACGGCGCCGTGCTGTACGTGATGGGCGGAGGAGGCTTGCGCGGTGCGGGTGCGGCGGGGAGCGACGAGAGCGGGCCGGTGGAGCTGTCGGTGTGCGATGTGGAGGCGCTGAACGGCGCGCTTGTGCTGACCGGCACGTTTCCTGCGGGGTCCGTGCTGACGGTGACGGACTCTCTGCTGGTTGCCGCGAGGCCGACGTCGCTTGTGTATCTTCCCGGCTCGCAGTCCTCGCAGTACGCACCGGTGCTGGTGCTGTCGGGCCTGCGGCTCGTGCGGTCCGTGCTGGTTGTGTCCGGCGTTGCCCTCGTGACCGTGATGACTGGTGGGCGGACGGTGGTGGTGGATGGCGCGGTGCTGGAGCTCGTTGGTGGCGGTGTCGCGCTGGACGCGGCTGTGGTCGGTGGCGAATATGCGTTGTACGCGAGTGCGCGCGTGGTTGCGTCAGGGGGCGCTGTGCTGCGCGTGTCGGGGAGCCAGGTGTACGCCGCGCATGGATTGGTGTTTGATAGCGGGGTGGTGGCTAACGCGTCCGCCGTCGTAGTGAACGACAACGCCGGCGCGCTGACCGATGGCGCGCTGCTGGTGCTGCGGGGGTCGGCGTCGTTTGTGTCCGGGTCGTGGCTGTCGGTGCGCGGCAACAGCATCAGCGGCAGGCTTCTGTCGCTGCCGTCGTACCCGCGCAGTGCCGACCTCGTGCAGAGCACGCTGACGCTTCACGGGAACGCTGGCAGTGGGCCCGTCGTGATGGACGGCACCGTTGCTCTCGTGGGCGCCGGCCGAAATTTCGTTGTGGGGTGCCTGATGCTGAACGGGCAGGCGCTGCAGCCGATGGACTACAGGTCCGCCGGCATCATCGGGGAATTCCGTCCCGTGGCGTGTGGCGTGTGCGACGCCGA